GTATTCTTGTTTCTAATTCAAATAAAAAATTGGAAAAAAATCTTTTCTAAAGAGGGTTGGAAAAAATTCTTGTGTCTAACTTTGCTTTTAATTTTTGTAATATTTTTTACTCTCACTTTTTGTGGCAGTTTTGCATCATGCATGCACTAGTAAGTGTTCTCTAGAGGAACAGAATGGATAACATGAATCTATCTGTCATCTATCATCTATCTAGAAAGGGGATTTATTAGAATGACTTACAGGCTGTGGTCCAGTTAGTGCAACAATGGCTGTTCACCAACAGAGGAATCCAGTAGTTGCCTGTCCCTGAGACTGGATTTCTCAGCTGGTCTTCCGTATACACTGCTATCCCAAAGAATTTAGGTTCTAATGCCATTGAAGGAATGAACTTACTAGTGAGGGTAAGAGCAAGCAGCCAAAGAGAGCAAGCTTCCTTCTTCCATGTTCATTATATAGGCTGCCAGCAGAAGGTATGGCCCAGATAAAACTGTATCTTCCTAGCTCAGAAGACCCAGATTAAAAGTGGGATTTCCCGTTTCTAAAGGTTTAATTAAGAAAAAAATGTCTCATAGGTGTACCCAACCTCCTGGGTTTTAGTTAGCTCCAAATGTAGTCAAGTTGACAACCAAGAATAGCCACCACAATGCACCTAATCAGTCACTCAGTTCTTTCTCCCCTATCATTTGTGACTAGAAATTAAACTCAAGATTACAGCTCTGATTAGTGTCAGCAAAAGTGACAGGCAGTCTTTTGAAGTACACATTTTATTTTAAATGTGTCGCTACTGTAATCTGATTGGATTTTAAGAAACTGGGTCTGTTTTTTTTTAGATGTTACAAACCAAATGATGTATCTAGGATTTGCTTCAAAATCCTAATGGTGGAGGTGTGGATAAGATATGGATGAGGTAGTTTCCACAAACCAACCTTATAGTTGGTCTGTAACACCGTTAATGGGCACTAGAGTGGTTAATGTAGTTAATGGACATATACATTTTCTATGGATGTGTTTGTGTTCATGTGTGTGCAGGGAGATGTGTTTGTCTTGGTGAATGTTTATGTACATGTGGAGATAAGAAACAACACCAGGTGTTTTTCCTCCAGGGCTGTTCACCATTTTTCTCTCATTGGCCCGAGTCTCGCCAAGGAGGCTATATTGGCTTGCCATGGCACCTCAGAGTGGCCTGTTCCCTACTGGGATTACAAGCATACACTATTATGTTTGGCTTTTGTTTATGTGGATTCTGAAGACTGAACTCAGGTCCTTATGCTTTCTTTTTTATATAAAATGAGGCTTTATTGATTCTTTGGGAATTTCATCATGTGCCCCAATCCTGCTCACCTCTCAGTCCCCCCATATCCGTCCCTCACCCCCACAGTGTGTCCCACAAAAAAACCCAGAAAAATAATTAACTAAAAACAAAACAAACTAAAAAAAAAAAAATACCCTGCCCCTTCACCTTCCCTGTCTCTCCAACATCTATTTATCCATCCTAATGGCAATGGGAGCTGCAGTGGTCACACAGTTTACCCCATTGTCCAAACACCTCATCCATAAATGTTCATTGCAATGAGTCATTGGTCTTGTTCAAAGCCTCTTGCCTCTGGCACACCATCGTCACCAGACCCTCACCAAAACTCCTCTCAGATACCTGAGTCATGGAGATCCTGCAGCTATCATTCAGCAGGACCAGTCACATGACCTGTTCTAGCAGGTCATAGATGAGGTAGACATTAAGGTGGGCCAACCCAGGGCCCAGAATGTGGTCCTGGGTGGTAGCTATGCTGGCCAGTCCAGACTACTGGGACTGCCCTTCACCCCACCCCACCCCCAGAATGGAAGAGCCAGTTCTCCCACATTCCCATGACATTGGGGCCAGCTCTCCCACATTGGTGATAAGGGGTGGGCCCATCTCTCCTGAATGGTGGAGGACAGCTCTCATGATAGCCTTGACCAGCTCTCCTGCTGCAATGCCCAGTGAGGGGAAGGGCAAGCTATGCCATGGCCACTGAAGTATGAGGCCCGCTCAGTAGAGACCTCAGATTTCAACATGCACGGCTCCTATGGCTCTATAGATACCAACACAGATCCCAGTTGCAACAGGACCACGGACCTAAAGATGGCCTTTGGCAACAGCCTAGGCCTTGACATCACCCTGGTCCTGGGTGGCAAGAAGGTCACCCTCATCAGTCTGTTCCTTACCTCCTTCATTTCTTCAGTCTGCCTCTTTCCACAGCACATGAACTGCTCTGTTTCTCTTTCTCTCCTATTTCTCCACCATATATTTGCTCATTATAATGACATGGTGTCAGGCCAGCATGCACTGTGAAGACCTAGGCCAAGTGGCCAGGCCTCCTGTTTTCAAAGAAAGTATTTTACTGACTGGGATCTCTCTCTCTCTCTCTCTCTCTCTCTCTCTCTCTCTCTCTCTCTCTCTCTGACTTAAAATATCCATTTGGGTATGGTGTCCGTTATCAGTTCATTGCCTCTCTGCCTCACACCCACCCTTCTCACCTTCTCTTCCTTGGGATGCCAAAGCTTGACCCTTGCCAACTGGCTCAGTTTTACGCTTTGACAAATTTCCTAGTTACAACATCCAGTATTTTAGTAGTTAGTCCTGTCAGTTAACAATTAGTCAAAGAAAGGGCCATATTTTCTTGACTACAAGGAAGTATAAACACACTATTGCTGAGAGGAAGTGAAATTATTATATGAAGTGGCTTTCTAACTTCTACTCTATTGTCCATATTTTTTCATTATGGTAACAATTCAATTGGTGGCTCATACCTTAATCCCAGTACTCTGTAGGCCAAGGCAAATGATTTCCACGAGTTCCAGGGCAGCTTAGGCTATATAAAAAGTTCCAGGTTACCCTGTGTTGTAGAAGAAGACCCTGTCTCAAGAAAAAAAAAAAAAACAAAAAACTGCACAATGGTGTGAACACAGGTAGTTCACACCTGTGCTGAAGCTGGAGGATCAAAGTCAGTCCAGACTACATCGGAGTTTCAGGCCAACACACAGGGGTTGTAGGGCAAGGCCTTGCCACCTGCCCCCCCAAATAGCCTACATACTTCCAACACTAGTACCATATATGGACTGTGCATGTTTCACCTGTGACCTTTTGCCACTGCAGGAGTTGCTGTGAGCTCAGTTAAATACCCACTGTGACATGTACCTTACTTTACTAAGTCCCAGAGCAAGCACCACACCATTGGGCACAGGCATTGAATGATGCTAGAAATGTTTTACTTTTCTGGCATAACTTTTCTTGTATTTATGAAATAGATGGACAAGGCAGTATTTCATATTTGACAGGCTTCTTGAAATCAATGCCTTCTGGTATCAATAAGATACCAGGTTATTATGTCAAAAATATACCATTTCTTTAAAACCAGAATGAAATCTGTCTTAGATGAGAATAGGTTTTACACAATATGGGACTTTCTAGACTACTGGATTTTTAACAATACTTGGATATCAATCCTGTTTACAATTTTCCTGGGAGTTGCTTTTGAGATAATCCTCATAAGAACTTGTGAATTATTTAAGAAGAAGCTTAAGCTATGGAAAAATAGCGGTTTGTATTCTCAGAGGGTAAGAAATGATTGACCATTCTCTCCTATTTTTCTAAAGCACACTTAATAATTTTTTAAAAATTAACTTTGATAGTTGGGCTATTTCTCTAACATTTTGATATTCTCCCTTGAAGCAGGATGAAGATGTTTTCCCCAAAGGAGAGATACTTGGTAAATATCACACAATTTCATCTTTTTGGTTTTTGTTTCTTTGTTTGCTTTAGTTTTTTTTTTCTTTTTTGAGACAGGGTTTCTCTGTGTACTCTTGGTCTTAGCTGTCCTGGAACTGGCTTTGTATATCATATTGAGTACAAACTCATAGATTTGCCTGCCTCTGCCTAACAAGTGAAGGCATGAGCCAGGACTGCCCAGTTTATGACTTCATCTTTTAATATTAAATTTACTTAGTCTGAGTTTCTTCCACTGATACTGTAACTTTTTGTTCCCATGTAGCTATAGAGTGCTGGTCCATTTCCAAAACATCTTCAGCAGAAAGGTAGGTGAGATGAAACAATACAACTTGTTTATAATCTATTCAAACTTGCATCTATGTCTGAATTCCAGGGATACATCTTCCTAAAGGTACACTAAACGGTAATTCACCCCAATGTTTTTTTTTTTTAAGTAGTTGCCTTATTCCAAGCTATGATAAGGGCTTTTCATATATTTGTAACGATAACTCTTCCCACCTGCCTGCCTGAGTTCCGCCACCATGTTAGGGCCCCCAAATAACACACAGAGTTATATTATTTACAGTGCTGCTGACCAATGACTAGGATTTCTCATTTGCTAGCTCTGTCCTAAGTGTCAACCATAACCATTAATCTATATATTTTATGAAGACTTATCTCATCAAGGACACTGATGGCATGTGTCCTCTCTTCATGGGATCACATGGCAACTCTTGTCTTTACTACATTTCCCAGAATCCTCCTCGACTTCTAGCCCCACCTATCTTGCTTTCCTATTGGCCAACAGTGCTTTACTTATCAACCAATAAGACAAGCATATACACAGAAGGACTGCCCCCATCATATATTGGTTAGATTATCCTTTAAAGTACACAAAGCTTACAGAGGTTAATTTGGCTTCTTATGGTAAAATATCCCCACTACTCACAAAGAAATAGTAACCACCATTTCTTCCTTCCTTTTTTTTTTTTTTTTTGGTTTTTCGAGACAGGGTTTCTCTGTTGTAGCTTTGGAGCTTATCCTGGCACTCTCTCTGGAGACGAGGTTGTTCTCGACCTCACAGAGATCTGCCTGCCTCTGCCTCCCAAGTGCTGGGATTAAAGGTGTGTGCCACCAACGCCCGGCTTGTAACCACCATTTCTTATAATTCACTTGGTAAAATAATTCACCATCTACTGTGAACCAACAGTGAAGTGGGTGCTGTAAAACTCAGAGGCGCTCTGAAATTCAGAATGTGACTCAGAATCTGTCAGCTCACAAGTAATTCTTCTGTGGTTTAGACACCAACATCACCATTACTCTTTGTTGCTATCTTAGTTGTTTTAACTAAAAATCATCCAGTGATTATTAAACATCTTTGCAGCAGGCACTGTTTGATGCTAGGATACAAACACTTGAGCTAGTTTCTGATCTCAGACATGTAATGTAGCTAAAGGATAAAACTGCCCAGTATGCAAACATTTAGGAGATGTCTAAATCAGCCTAGGGCTGTGAGAATGGTTCCATGAAGGGTACATGAGAGCTGGGGTTTCAATTTTTAAAATTACATCTATGTATTTATTTGTTTGTTTGCATGGTTTATGGTGGGGACACATGGGGAGGGCAGAGGACACCTTTCAGGACTGGGTTTTCTCCTCTCAACACATTAGTCTTGGGGATTTAACTCAGGTCATCAGGCCTGGAGGCAAGCAGCTTTGCAAGCTGAACCATTCATGGAACCTGAAGCTGGATTTTAAAGAACAAATGTAAATTAGCCTCTGGCCTGAAAACATAGCTTAGAATATCATAAAGGCACTCCAGGACAAATACAAAGATAAGGAAATAAGAAACTGCAAGCTGTGTGAAAGAAATAGCAATGATTTCAGAATTGTGGAAAAGTTAATGGGGACAAGTAGTGGGAGATGGTCATGAAGAGGTGGGACCACAGAGAGAATAACATATCAGGTTCCAAAGCTTGGATTAAACTCTGAGCAAAACCACTGTCGATGTTTAGGGAAAGGAGTGTTTAGGAGCTTCAAGATGGCCCAGTGGGTGGATAAAGCTCTTGCCCACAGAAGACTGGGGTTCAGATCCCTAGCCCCCACAAGTATACTAATGGAGTGTGATTTCCACTTGTAATCCTAAGCACTCAAGAGGTTAGGACATCAGATAGCTAGCACCTGGCTAACTAGGTTACCCCAAGACACCCTTCCACAAAACAGAAGACAGAGAGGGAAGGAGAAAGACACCTGAGCTCAACTTCTGGCCTCCATATGTATGTATGATAATGTGTTTGCACACCTGAATACACACATAGGACCACACACATGTGAATGTGCATATACATACAGCCATGCATACCACACACTGTAAACAGAAGTTTCTCTGTCCTGTCCCATCCCATAGTCACTTCCAAAATAATCACTCTGAGGCTTATATTAATTATCCATGCATTGTCCCAAGGCTCATAGCCTTTACCTCTATTTCATTTTGTATGTCTGACTCCTGCATCTGGCTGATGACTCCTCTGACTCTGCTCTTCTTCATCCCATTATTCTCAGTTTGGCTTTCCCAACTAATTTTATTCTATTCTGCTATTGGCCAGTCAGCTTGATTCAGAGGGACATATATTCACACAGTGACACAAGGATTATTTCACAGCAGCACACAAACTGTTTTTCTCTGAGATCACTCATTTCTTTGTGCAGAATGAACCTGAAGATTGATAGTCTCATTTCTTACATATTTCAAATGTACGAAAATTGGAAGTCTAGTTGCTTTGTTATTCCATTGGTCCTAGGAACTTTAGTCATAAGATAGGTGCCTCAAGAAACAGAAACAGTGTGTTGAGGTTCTAGGTTAGTAGAATCCTTGTCAAGAGTAGCTGGCAGTGGGATTGCCATTGCAAACTGGAGAAACATCATAGTGTTTTCAGACACCCATGGGATTGTCTGAGACACTACCACTTTCAGTACAAGAGGTGCACTGTCTCCAAAGCTTACCAGAGGATTGACAGGAAAGAGGAAATCTTAAAAAATGAGGACAAGGATTATCAGTTTTCCCCTCTGTGTGCTATTATTCCCTCCTTCCTGCATAGGCAGGAGCTAATCCTTGGGTGGCCTTTAAGGAAAGATGCAGCAGTCACCTCTAATCTAAAGTTTTGCTTCCCATGGTTTCAGGTTGTTGAGACCAGCTACAGTTGGAAGTATTCAATAGAAAATTCTATAAATAAATCATGACATTTAAATTCCATGCCATTCTGAGGAGCATGATGAAATATGCTGTCTGTGGTGTTTTGAATAAGAATGTTCCCCCCATAGGCTCAGACTTTTGAATGTTTGGTTCCCCATTTTTAGACTGGGTGTTTTGAATAAGAATGTCCCCCCCATAGGCTCAGACTTTTGAATGTTTGGTTCCCCATTTTTAGACTGTTTAGGAAGGATTAGAAGGTCTGTCCTTATTGGAAGAAGTGTGTCAGTGGGGATGGGCTTTGAGGTTTGAAAGCCCAACACCAACAGTCTCTCTCTGCCAATAACCTGTGGATGAGATGTAAACTCTCAGTTACTGCTCCAGTGCTGTTCTTAGGTGCCTGCTGCCATGTTCTCACTATTGCCATGTTCTCACTATCTCTGAAACTGTTGGTTTGGTTATGGTAGCACCTAGGAGAGACGCCAATCTGCTGTGTCTCTTTCTTCAGCATATACATCTGTATTAAAACATAATTTAGTGGCCATCTTTGTTTCAGATTGGCTGCTTCATATTGCTGTATTTGTATTCACATTGAATAAATACATCTTTATTTTTAAAAGAGATAATCTTTATTTTACTTACCTGTGGATTCAAAGAATGTCAGTATTGATGCTGGCAATTCAGACATCAAAAGAGAACCTGCCAAGTGCTTTAAATGAAAAGTGAAAATAAGATAGGACTTTTGAGACAAAAACTACATACCTTTCATTGTAGTGTGATATAATATTCTATTATTTGTTGGTTTTGATTGTTTACCTGACATAAATTAAACTTTAGGGAACTCAGTAGTAGAGTGCTTGCCCTTGTCTAGTATGTTCTAGTCCTTGGATTTAATCCCTAGCAGCGCAAAAAGTAGTTTATAATTTAATAATTAAGCATTTTTGTGAATAAGAAGAAAAACAATAGTGTAAACAGCATTTGGTGATATGTACAGATTCAAGCATTGGCAGGGACTGGGAATGGACCCCTGAGAATGGAAGCACTGTAACTGAGAACGGTGGTAGGCAGCGGTTTTGCAGGAACAGGCTTAAAGAGGATATGCTCCAGTGGACACATATTGCACTGAAAATTCATTGTTTGGGGTTCACAAAGGTCGATCTTTAGTTAATTAGCTAATGAATTATTTTTTGTTTGAGACAGAGTCTTGCTGTGTAACCCAGACTGGGTTTCAACTCCAGACACTCCTGATTTAGCCTCCTGAGGTATAAGCTTCCACACCTTGCTAAGGCTCCACTTTCTATCATAGTTCTGCATTTTGTTGGTTGGCCTGGTGTTAGACAATTAGCTTTAGGACATTGGTCTAATAGAGTTATGGTTACTAGCAAGTCTAAAATTTGTAGTGTAAGTCTATGGATTAATATGGCAAAATTTCTTCTTGCTGTGAAGTTACTCTTTTGCTGTTTATGCCTAAGACTGATTAGATGACTCCTCCCACATTAGGGAGAACAGACTCAATTATAATTTACTAGTTCATATGTTAATCTCCTCCCTAAAAATCCCCTAACAGAAATACCCATTATAATTTTGGACCATGTACTGGGCACCACGGCTCAGCTAAGTTGACATATAAATTAACCCCAATACTAAGGTAATGCTGCTGATGGTGGTCTGAGTCCTTGTTTGACAGAGTAGTCATCCACATAGAAGAAAACTGCAATATCTTTGCTATACATTCATCAATACAAATCATTACTCTGACCCACAAGTCCACTGACAAGTACTTCACCACAAATGTAGGGTTTTCTCCTCCTCACAAATAGCTGGCAAGTTTAAGTATAGAAAACTACACTTGGTTTAATGGGATATTATTCTTCTGTTGTATCTACAAAATTTCCATAAGACTGTTTTACATAAAAAATTTATATAAGGAATAGAAATATATTCTTTATAAAAGGATATAATCTTCACTCTTTGGCTCATTGCTGTTAAAAACAATTTTAGAGAGACTGATAAATTACCTTACTCTCTTAAGTAAATGTTTTACTTCACTTTGTCAACTGATTGGTCTACTAAGGGAAATGATGAGGTGATGACTTTCTTGGCGATATGGATGGTAGTTTCACCTTTATCTTTGTTTGTAAACAGAGCTGTTTTCATCTATGATCCTTTTTCCTTAAGTCTAGAGTGAGACCCTATAATATGCTTACTCTAAGTTACGACTCACACTTTCTGTTTTCTTATCTCCAGAGTGGAAGCATTTTCAGAAAGAGTAACAACCAGTCCTCCATGTGAGGAGAAGGGAAATAACATCAGAAAGGAAACCATTTCATCCAATGAATATGAATATCAAGGAAGCCATTTTTGTGAAACTCACTCATCTTCAGGTGGGACCAGAAAATCCTTTTCAATGATTCATTCAAAAGTAAAGAACATTTTCATGAGATCCTTTTACAGAAAAGATCCACAAAGTAAATATCAAACAAAATCATTTTCCTCCAGTAATTTATTTTCAATAATGAAAACCAACAGGAAAAAAAACACACTTCCTGTCAGTTTTCCAAGCACTTTTACATTTACAAGAGCTGAGGATCTCAATGTGACACCATGCCCTCCTGTCCATTTATTACTTTCTCTTGACCAAATTAAACATTTGGAAGAAAATGTGAGAAGGAAGATTCCTGTGAACCCTAAAGCTTTGTCAGGGAGGGAAGCTGATTGTCTGCACCCAAGATCTCAGGAGTCATTGATCCATTATCAACATCCTAAGGAAGAATTTCTTCCTGCTGAAGCACTAGATACTTTCCCGGACCAAAGTGCTATGCAGAATCAGTTGATTCGTGAAGAACAGTTTACTAGCCAAACCCAACAATGTATTCACAACCAAGAGTCAGTCATCAGCCAGCCTGGTTTCATTCAGCCTCTAGATGTTATGAGACAGCCATTTTCTAGTAGCACACAAGACTCCTTCCAGTCCCAACAAATAGACCATAAAGATAAAAGCCAACATTTCAACCACATCCCATGTATTGATGAAACAGAAGATTTAACCAAGGGCTTAGAGTCTGATGAACATTTCAGTGAGACCCAATGTTCTGTCTATTTTAATGACCAAAACAAGAGTAACCATTTGGTTACAGGACAAAATAGTGTTTTCCAGAATACTGATTTTCTATCTTTAAGATCAAATTCATTGGCTGAAGATTTTCCACAACAAAACGTAATACCAGGCCAACAACCAGTGGCTTCATTGGAATCAAACCAGCATTGTGCACACAGTTCAATGTCTCTTTCACTTAACATTAAAAGGCAGAGAAACAAGAGAGAAATACCAGACAATGAAAGAAAACTCAATCTTAAAGTTCCACATCCCAAAGCAAAGAAAACCTCCCATTCACAGGTATTGCCAATCATAGTCTGTCATACTTCAGAAAATAAGATAACGTTCAGATGCAAGAAGAAGAAGAACATAGTACATCAAAGAAAAACCATGCCGGATATAGCACTGCATCTTATTTCTGTCTCTAAGCTTATCACTCCCCATGTTAAAAAGTATTTCTTAAAATGTCTAGTGGCCGTTATTCCAGACTTAATAACATGTGAGCGTTTTCTGCAGGCACAAAATAAGTCACTAGATACAGAGAAAATCAATTCTACAAGGGCAGACAAACATACAGACAGAGACGAGGCTGCAGGTCCCATGCACCCACCTTCAATGCCAGAGAAATCGTCAGCTAGTGAGTGTTTAATTGAAACAACAGAACATAGGGTCCCATTTTGTGAAAAGCCCACACAAACACTGGATGGTCATATTACAGAAGACAAAGAAGACTTGAACAAGGACTTATGTGCAGTTGCCACAAGACCTTTTAAAGTCAGAAAAATAGCATCAGGACCAAAAAATGTACTCAGTGTCAAGCACAAATTTAAAGTGAAAAAACCTGCATTTTCCCTGAGGCTTTCTGTAACTGCACATAACACTCTGAATAGGAGAAAAGTGGGAGACAGATTTGAAATCAATAGTAAACAAATGCTGCATGATGTAATATTGGCACCTGGGTTTCTAAATGTTCAGCCTCAGAGGTCTAGCATTCAAAATAATAAAACTGATATCAAGATAACACCCCCAAAAACCCATGTTGAAAGGAAAGAAAAGAATTTAGATTCCCTTGATAAAGAAAGGAAAGCTGTAGATGCTCCAGAAGTTCAGTTGTGCTGTGATGTGAAAGTGCTGCCAGAGACAGTGGCTCCCGTTCGGAGCTTCCGATTTGACGCATGCCCAGTCAAATCTGAGACTAAGATGGAGAAAGAAATGTTTCAAGCAGTATCTCTCACTGAAGCAGTTACGGAGTCAGTTGACTCACCGAGAATGGATTCATTTTGTGTTGCAAATACAAAAACCAGTGCAGCTACACAGACAGAGCTCCAATATTGTGCAGAATTAGCATTGGATCCTCTAACGTCAGGAAAATTACTGGCGAAAGACTCTCTGAGACAACCAAGTAATGTCCCAAATGATGGAAATGATACAAGGGAAATTAGTTGTGGTTTTAATCAAAACACTTTTCCATGCTCTGTAAATTACTGCATGCCTGTTTTGATTCATTCTAAAAAGAAAGAGCAAATAAGATTCACAAATATGAGTACAGCGAGGTTCAAGTATATGAATAAGGTGAAACCAATGGCTTCAAAAACATTCAATATCACAGGCAACAAAAAGAAGTCAAAATTGGACCTCAAGATCAAATTAAAAAGGGTAGACCAAGCTAAGGCATTTTTACCTGAATGTCAAAACACTATTTGCTTATCCAACCATGGAGATTTGCAGGAGGTCTTTTGTCATGCTCAACTAAAGCAAGGAGGACTAGCAAGCCAAATACGTGTTGATTGTGTACCTGAAAGTAGTGAGTTCTACAACAGAGAGAAAAACTTTAAAGAAGAAAAACAAAACCCTTTTGTACAGGCAGCTTCACAGCATGGCCAACATAGGTGGGCTGATGCAGATCAAAGGAAGGAAACTCTCACAGATGAGCCAGAGCCATCGCCTATCTCTTTAAGTCAAAAACAACCTGCTAACAATCAGGGTGTAAAGTACCAAAAAGATTCCCTGAAAAGTACTTCGGAGACCAGCCTACAAATGGCCCCCATCCAAGCTGAAGGATTACAGACAACGACCAGAACAGAAAGTGGCATAAACGTCCCCATGGTTCCTAAAATTTTATCTCCTAAAGCAGGAACCTCTTCACCTGGTGAATTTACAAAGATGACAGATGATGATTTAGAATCCTATGAGAACTCTGAACATGAATTAGAATTGTATCCTGCAGAAAAGGATTCAGAGACATCAACAGGTCTGCAGGTGGCATTCCTGCAGTCTTCTGATTCTGTTACAAGATCCTCTGTTCTTAGACCTAAAGGGAAGAGAAAAGTACTAAGATCAAAGAGGCACACAACAGCGAGACAGAGACATAGAACTATGCCGGAAATAAAACCATCAGTTCCACAGTCAGTTGGCTGCAGGTATAGCAAAAAACAAAACTGCAAAGAAATGAAATATTCCTGGATAATTTCCGAAGAGAAATGTTACAAGATGGGTAACATAGTAGGTGCCTGTTTGGACTTCATTTACTCCACTGTATATATTTTGTCCAACAAAAAAAATAGAAGTTCAAAACCATGGATAGATGAACAGAGAATAAGAAGACTAAGTCATAGGGAACGAATACGAGAGAAATCACCAAATGGAAGAAACACACACTTTCTGGGTTCTGCTGATTTGAGTAGTTCCTCTAGCATGAAGAACTATGAAGAAGAAGTGGAAGAGGAACCAGAAGATATCCTGATCTCAGAAAATAGCCCCAGCCTTACATGTGCTACATATCAAGAAAAAGACCATGACCAAGAAGGGAGAACAATTGCTCAGGTACAAGCACAAACACTTACAGAAGTTATTTCCTGTTCTACCCCATGCCCCATCCCAGATGAACTTCAACTAGAAAAGCTAGAGGACTGTTTCAATGTTTCCCCTCTAACATTTGAGGAAGATAAGGACAATGCACTATCTAAAGGAGAGTGCGATCTATCTGATGAAAGACGACACAAGGAACAGGCTGCTGACAGTGAAAGGGAGCCGAAGGAACTATCAGCCTCATATGCTAATCCAAACCATAGTGGAGAAATAAAATGTGACTCAACCATAATGGAAGGCACGGATCCAGAGGGAAAAAATGCAGATGAAATATCCTATTTGACAGATGTTGCACTGGATATTAATATGAGCAGCAAGATAGAAACAGAAGAATCCACATCAAGCAAAAAAACACCCTGTTCTGTACCAAGGAAGCCAGAGATACTGCTTCATGAAGGGAAGTTTACTTCAGATGACATCAAAGAAATTAATCTTCAATCTAAAGAAGAAAGGGAGAATGATGATGACACATTATTAGAGTCATTCCCACAGGATAGCCAACATTTTGTATTTTGTTCACATCAAAGCAGGGATCCTATCTCTCATGAATTAAGAAAAGAAGGAGGGAAGAACATTCTGTTCACTGTGGAACAGGAAATTCCACAGCCAAGTCAGTCAGCAGGTCTAACCCAAAAAGAGTATGCCATGTGTATGTCAAGTTCAAAGGGTCCTCCCATACAATCTCAAACTGATGAAGTTAACCCTGATAGAACAAAATACGGCATCTCTGATGATGGAACTCATGAACAGAAACTGAACAGTTGGGATAGATTGGAAAGAGAAGGGCTTAAAAATGACCTACAAGCAACTATCACAGAGTCTTTGAATCTCTCAACCCCTCAGGCACTAAGATCTGAAAGGAAAATCAAAGTATCTATACGGAAAGCCTTACAAGGTAAAATGTGTTCAATTGGTATAACTATGAAAGGAAGGAAAACAGCTGTTTCAAAGGTATTAACTATATCACAGTGTGGTCATAGAAAAAATCTACTTCCAAAAACCTTGAAGCCCCAGATTTCTGAATTTATACATTCTGCTGTCTTATCTGATAGTTTTAATATAAAAGTATTGAAAGATCCAACAGCAGAGAAAAATAAAAGATTATTAACCCAGGAATTGGCAGCAACAATGTTAGAGTCTTTGGATTTCTCCACACCTACATCAAAAGAGAAAGAGAATTTAAAACTCATGGACAAGGGAAATGAAATGAGTAACAATTATCTATCCGTCAAAACAAGGAAGGCAGAAATCTCCCAGACACTTACTACTGCAGGATGTGGAACACCAAAACAAGGTAAACTCATGGCAGATTTGTCCCTAAATACCACCTTCTCTCCTATGCCTGTGTCTCTTGATCTGAACACATGTGGTGGAATACAAGATAGGGATATGATGTGGACAATGAGATTTAGTACTGACCAGTCAGAACATGAAGAGAGAGCTTGGTGCACAGACTACATGGATGAGGATACAACCTCAAATAGCACCAAAGATGTAAAAGGTCAAGGTGGTGAAGAGGGCCCATCGATTTCCAGTCCTCAGAATATGACAGAGCCTAATTCTGTGCAATCTGGTTTACAACTGATTAATTCAGCAACTTATCCAGAGTTAGAGAGAACGCTATACGATGGGCAAGCAGAGCCAGTCAATGTGAATGACCTACAATGTAGCATGGTGGATGTAACGTCAAACACACTTTCCTTACATTCTCTTGCTTATTCTGAAGTGGACACAAGGATACATGAAGAACAAGCTATGCAAATAACCCAATCGAGTCATCAACCAAAGCTCCAAAGACCATCAGATACAGAAGAAATCTGTGCAAATTCTAACCTTGAACCTATCTTGAACAACGGAAAATGTTCCATAGAATATACATCCCAGAAAGAAGAGAGTACAACAACAGAAAAAACCATGCATTTGAAAGAAAAACCATCAGTTTTACAGAAAATTCAGTTAGATATCACAGAACCAGGGCAAGAGCTACAAAAAATTAAAGATGAACTTAATGTGGATGAAACCAGTACCAGCATGTGGGTATCCTCTCCTTGTTTGAAATCAGATACAAGGATAGAAGAGGCAGATGGTATAACTGAAGTAACACTGCACTTTCTTACAGAATTATCACTCCAGACATCATCAGCTATACTGGATGAAGTAAGAAAAGAGTGTGCCAAGGGTCATACCACTAGTGCCACACTAAAACAAGAGGAACATGTGCTACAGAAAACAGAGCATGAAGTAAAAATATTTGGGGAGAAAGTCACAATGCATACAGAAGATAAGGACTGCACAGGAAATAAAACACTCTCCCAAGATTTATTCTCAAGTTCTAAGGATCAAGGGGAAATAGATCCACAAAATGAAGAACAAGAAAGAGTGGATGGAAAGGATGAAAAAGAACAGACTTATAATAATGATGGTAAAGACCAAGAGAAAATGGATCTAAATTACACAAAACAGGGGAAATGCAGTCAAGATGATAGGGAGGAAAAGGAAAAGAACCCAGAGGGTAAAGAGCAGAGGGAAACAATTGGAGATGGTCAGAAACACGAGGAAGGCTGTCTAGAAAATGGAGAGCAAGAGACATGGAATCACAAATGTGACACTCAAGGGGAAGTAAACCCCAACAGTATAGAGCCAGGGAAAGCAGACCAACAAAGGGAAAGCAAAGAGAAAGTAGCTCCTGAGTATCTTCCATCTCAGTCTTCTCATAAACTGATGTCTATTAGAACAGAAGGAGAAGAACAGACGCAAGGAACCATGAAATCAGCTAATTTACAACTACAGCAACAGAAATTGCTTGAAACAGGAAAAACTAAACAAACAGAATCAGCTGAGGATGATGATAAGTCAAATGTAAAAATAGGGAAGCAGTGTGAGTCACAGACATGGATGGATGGAGGAAAAAATGTGCATAGAAAAGATGTAATGCCCTCCAAAGACACAAGTTCCAATACAAATCAGTTACCACTTTCACATGTACCCAGGACCACTGGGCATTATGGCACAAATACAACAGATGAACAGACAAATGTAAATGAAAACTTGGGACATGTGCAGGAAAGAAACTGTGAACTAGGTGAGGGTTTGACCTTGGCATCTTTACCTCACAGTAAGTTAGATATAAGAATAAAAGTCAAGAAAGAAACATGTATAGAAACAGGATCCTTTTCTCCATACTCACAGAGCATGGAACCTTCAGACGCAGAAACATCAAGCTTTACAGCATCCTCTTTGAATAACATCATAAATGATTCAAAAAGATCAAGATACATGTCATATAAAGAAGAGAATAGAGTGAAGACTTTTGAGAGAGGCACTGTGCATCACAAGGCTGAATGTGTGAACATAAATAAATCACCGCTTTCATATGTACCCGAAATAAAGAGACCAAAACTGCATCTTAAAGAGAAAAGTAAGAAGAAGCAAGAAGGCAGGAAGGCAAAAGGTATGCTCCTGAGAGAAGCTCGTCCTGTCATCACTTCTTCAAACGCCTCTACTTTAGACAAAAGCAAGGAAGTTGAAACAGAAGTAAGGCAAAGGCACTTGCCACACTCTATGCCACAAGAATCATTACCTGAAGGGCAAGTAGCATCTACAAAGTCCATTTCTAACCATGCAAAGAGAAGAAAACTGCATCTATCAGCAACTGATGTTTTGACAAGGCCCAGTGACCTAGGTTTAAAGGCAAAGATATCTGCAACTTATCATGGATTGAATGTCAAGGAGAATAGTATTCCCAGGAAGAGGAGGACTTCCTGGAGGAGCAGTAAAGAAAAAACAGGACAGAAACAGGGAAAAACCAGAGAATCTATAGTTTTTACAACAAAGATTGATAGTTCCACGCCTTCTGTTCCTCACCATGGATTGCTTCCTTTACAGGAAGATTTTCTTGTGGCATCATGTACAGGGGAACTCACACATTCAGGTTCAAATGAAAGCATTACCCTACCTAATGCAATAAGTAAAGCCAATATACAAGAGTTATATGATGAGGCAAAGGTCAGAGTAATAGTTAAAGACAGCAAAGATAGAATGCATTTGAGAGCAAGAATATCCCCAACTGCACATTTTAATGACAGCATGCCACCTTTTGATATTAGAGAGCAAAGGGAAAAACCTGAGCACACCAAAGGTGATCCAACAATGATTGTTCTAAATGAAACTGCTTCCTTGCCTTTTCTGTCTTTCCAAAAGTCAGACACTAGAGTGAGTAAAGAGGAAAATATACTAGGAGAAACAGAAATTTCTTTTCTACCACCAAAGTCAGAGTCAGACAAAAGAGCATGCATGGGATCATCAGGTTATGGACTAAGCAACAGAAAAGAATCAACACATAAAAATGAGAAGAATAGACTCATAAAAGATGTGAAAGACAAAGAGTTCAACAAATCAATGGACCAAAGTGTAAAGAAATTACCATGGTCACATACACTCAGAATCAAAGAGTTGCAGGGGAAAGCCCAGGTAGAAACACTTGTGGATCTGGCAAACACAATTTTATCATTGTCCATCTCACAATTGCAACTCAATACATATTTAGGTGCACAGATAACTGGGGGAGAAGTTTACAGTGAGATAAAATCACTGAAAGAACACGTGCCACAAAAAGAAAAGGAAGATAAAAAAAGGCATGTGAACGTAAAGAGTAAAATGCATGCCAAGGACATAAATTGCAAGACAAATAAATCACCTGATTTACCTATGAAGAATTTGAGTGACCTTCACTGGAAAACTAGAGAGCCACGGGGAAAAGTTGAACAAGATATAAGTGAGCCACGTGTAACATTAACTAAGAAGTTGACTAAGACATCCACTGCTACATCTCCCCAGCCTATCCTTATTGGGAATCCTGGAATCATGGAAGAATGTACACCAGTGTTAACAAGATCCTCTGCTTCCTTTGGATACTTCCAGAAATCATCAGATTCTGAAAGAGGCATTTACATACAGCCAACTACTGGAGATACTTCAGTTAGTCTACAAATTGAAAAACAACATATGTCAGGGGAAAAGGAAGAACCTGGAATGCAAATAGCAAAGATCATAACTCACAAATATCAAGAAACAAGGGTTCAGGAACTTCAAGATGAACAAGGCTTAGTTCTGACTAAATCCTCTTATTTGTTATCAGATCTGCTCCATTCCAAATTGTATGAGAAAATAGAATTCAATGACACAAAACTAATACTTAGAAATTCTGCTTCGCAGAAACTATCAACTAAAGGAAAACCATTACCTAGAGAGGCCATTGTTGACGATACCACAAAAGGTGTTCAAAAACAACATCTACCTCAGAGAGAAGAGACATACAGAAAAGAAATAATAGACAGGCAATGCACAGATGTAACTTTAAAATCACAGAATTCACTTTTCTCCCAGAAACTCCACAGAACAGAACCTATGCATACTAACTCACCTAAACCAAAGGAACAAGACAATAAAAGTGAACCTCGAGTTTTAAGAAAAATGTACAATTCTAAACCTCCACCCGACATCACCTTATGTAAAGCTGTACAAGTAGATGAAGGAAGGTCAGAAAGTGCACCATTTTACCCATTCCCACAAATGTTTCCAGCATTTTCAGATGCAGAGAAGATGGCAGACACAGAGGCCAGGTGTGGGTATGTCAGAAAAGAAAAACCATGTACAAAGCAGGTAGAAAAAACAGTAGACTTGACAGTTGGTGTGCAATGCCAAAGGACAAAGGTCCCACCAATTTCGAATCTCCTTAATGCAAAGGAATTTGTCCTGAATATGAAGCTTCTGGAGAAAAAAGCACAGAAAGACAAAAGTGAACTGGCTGTGGTTGCATCACGGACTTTCCTGTCCATGTCATCACCAGCTTCTAGGACTTCACTGGGCAAAACACAGAAAGACACAGCAAGAGTTACAGGACACACTTGCCCACAGGGAAATGTCCAGGAAGCAGCAGATATCCAGGAAAGAGCAAACAGAGAGTCAGCTGAAGATGACAGTAACTGTATTGTTAAGACAACAGAACACAATATGCTACAGAGACAAGCCACGCCACAGGAGTCAAAGTCAGTGACCACTGTCTATCAAAAAAGTGGTCTTCCACAAGTTGACTTGGCATGTGAGTCAGACTCTCCAGATCTTAACATCGATCTCACAAGATTAGATATGATTAAAAGGGAAAAAATGCTGAACATCAAAGGGCAAAAATGTCAGCCAGAAAAATGTGAAAAAGAACCTTCAACTAAAATTGGAAATTGCAAGGAGGAAAATGAAATCAAAGATAATTTAAGTCACAAAACAAGTCCTAAGTTTCCAGTTTCTCCACCAAAGAAATCACTCAAGGAGACACTGACCACAAGTGGAACCCTTGTATGTTCAAAGGGGCCAATGACAGAGAGAGGACAGGAGACTGGCTCAGATAGGTCTATTAAGCCAAAGAAAGTTAAACAGAGTAATGCTACAGTAAGTGAAATGTTACCTCCAGAAAAGACATTTCAAAATAAGGAAGAACAAAATGTTGACATGAAAAAGCAAGCCATTCCTCACTCCAAGAGTGGACAGCAGATAAAGGCAAAGTCCTTCCCCCCTCTTAATGTTCGAGTTCAGAACAAATATCAGAGGATACCTTTACTAACAGACGTGGATGAGAAAACTGCAGTGAATATCAGCCCACCAATGCAGTCAGGGGCACACATGAGTATTACAGAGTTTAACCCCACAAGAAGGAAAGAAGATTCACCATCAATAGTTCTAGAACAAGAACAATGTGATCTAGAATTGCCTCATAAATCCCATGATTCTTTACTGAATTCTGAACCCAGGAACTTATGTTTACAAACAATACAAGGGGATGTTTCAGGGAGTAAGGACTTAAATATCATACATATCCCTGAAATGAATACCACTGGGCAAGAAGAAATAAGAAAAGATACTCTAACATCCCCAGAGTGCACATTTGAAGATCAGACATCAGAGATGGTGAACATATCCTTACAGAAGTGTGACTCTCACCTCCAAAGGGCTATTTCAGAAGATTACAGTTGCAGGGTTTATATGAAAGTTATAAAAATGAATTTCAGGTCTCCAAGAGGTGATAATACACATGCTAACTTAAAAATCGATTACCAAAGACGTTTTCCTTCTCCCAGCTGTGTAAAGACACCAACATTGAATGTTTCAAATAGCAGCAAGGTCATGACAGCACCAAAGGGCATTGAAAAGCAAGAAACTTGGAGTAATCAAATACAGTCAGGGGCACACATGAGTACTACAGAGTTCAATGCCACAAGAAGGAAAGAAGACCCACCATCAATAGTTCCATTGAGTCACATTCTCTACAAGTTCTCAAAGAAAGAAAAGGCTGATCTTCTTGTGCACTTATGTACAAAATCACTGGAGATACAAGCAACAGGCCTTCCCAGAATAGTAGCACAATCTTATGTAATGGCCAATGCCCAGGATAAATCAAAACCCTTATTTAAGTGTATCCATTCTGCCACCAAAGACCCAAAACGAACAAACAGAGTTTTAGTACTTTTTGATGAAAGATCTTTTTGTGAAATTGACTATGATTTGCAATGCAAATACCTCCGCTCTATCCCTAGACCTTCTGTCACTGTGGTCTCTAAGCCAAATGTACTTCCCAAACACACTTCTAAGTTAAGAATGGGTTCAGGTTCAGAATGTAAAAAAGAGGAAGAGTGTGAAAAAAGTAATATTCGCTCCTTTGACAAAGAACTTTTACAACATGTTCCTTTCCAAAAGAAAAATCTACAACAAAGCTCATCACTCACTAGAAAATTCCAAGAGCCAGCCAATGTACCTGTCCTTTATTCTGGTCTACAAGGCACAAAACAGAAAGATATGACAATTCTTTCAGATTTAAAATTACAGATGGCATCGGAACAGGATAAACAATGTCACGTTTGGTTTCAAGAAACCAGTTCATACAAGAAGCATTCTGTTGCAAGAACTCGGAAAAATATTTCTGATGTAGCTGATTCATATTCATCTTGGATTTCTGATGGCTGTACCAATGATGTACCTCTAAATACTGAGACTTCAACTGACTTGGCAGAATATCCAGTTTCTGAGGAAAGTAACAGTGAGGAATGTGTGTTTATAGAAACCAATTTTTACTTAACTCAAGATTCACAAAAGTTAGTGTTTGAGGTACCTAAAGGCATTCCATTGGCAGATACTCACAAAGTGGATGAACCAACGGTTTTGAAACCATTTTACTGTGGAGATCCCAATGATTATCATACTAAGACACATAGAAAACATACCTCCCCCATGGCACCGTCTTGCTATCAGTCTCAAAATACTAGCAAATATAAGATAAACTCCAAAATGCAGTCTCCTGACTGGTTATCTCATAGCTCATCCAATACTGTGGAAATAGAATCTACAAAATCTTGCATAACATGGAATAAAGACTGGTCCTCGACAACATGGAGCACAACAAGCTACTCTTTAACCTCCTCAACAACTGAATCAAATATTAAATTGAATCTTGCAAAAAAACATGGGAAGTCTTACATGTACCCACAAGTCAAAGAAAGAAGGATAGCTAAATCTGATTTATGGAGAAAGTCCAATGTCCAGCAGAGTTCAAATTATAGTCACTCACACAGTGGAGAGAAACACCCAAGGAGGAAGAGACTATATCATTATGAACCCAAAGATCCAAATCCACAAACTAATCAGATGCCAGAGCCCAATGCTCATTGGCAGAATGTCAAATTCTATTCAGAAAGAAGAGAAAATCAGCCCTTTCTTTATGCCTGTATGCCAGCAGATTCAATGGATGTTATCCCCCAAACCATTCGCTGGGTTATTCCACGAAAAATCTTACAGCAAAGAAACTTCAAAGTTCCTCGAGTGGCACATATTTCAAAATCTTGGAATCTATTGAGTTCATCCAAAAAGCTGTTGGGATCACTTGCATGGGCCTTTAATAGAATCCGTTATCATTGATATCAATTGCCTGTGGATTCTTCCGAATTGGAATTCTGTTTGCTACTGTGATATTCTATGAAAATAAATTGGTAGAATGTCATATTTCTTTGAGATGTGTTTACTCAGCTTGTCTGCTTTATGTCTTGGTAGATTCATGCAATTGTTGTTGGAGGTTAGGGAAAGGACATGACTCTGTTCCATCCTACCAGCTAAGAGCTCTCCCTTCCATTGGTGCTGCTTCCTCATAATCCTAATAGGAGAGGTCCACAGACCAGAGAAGCCTTTTCTCCACCCTACCCTTATGGCTGAAGGGTGAATGGGAGGAACATTCAATTGTGGAAATGATGGAGAATAGGTAGCTGAGATGAAAAGGAGATAAAGACAGGCTCATTGAGATAGCAGTAAGAGGTCCACTCTGTCAAACAGCACAAAACCCATAGCAAGTACAGAATTCTAGTCAATGAATTTGACAGCCAAACTGGATACCTTAATGGTTTTTATAATAGAGAACTCTGAACACCCAAAAACAAAGACCAGTGCCCGTTAACTACACTTCAGACCATCAGCCTTTGATGGAAACTACCACATCCACTTCTCATCCACACCTCCATCATTAGGATTTTGGAACAAATGCTAGATACACCATGTGGTTTGTAAATATTTTTATCATGTATCTGCATAAGGGCTTTTAAGATGACCACACTGTCGCTGTTACATCTAAAAAGAACAGAACCTGTTTCTTAAAATCCAACCAGATTACAGTAGCGACACATTTAAAATAAAATGTGTGCTTCAAAAGACTGCCTGTCACTTTTGCTGACACTAATCAGAGCTGTAATCTTGAGTTTAATTTCTAGTCACAAATGATAGGGGAGAAAGAACTGAGTGACTGATTAGGTGCATTGTGGTGGCTTGTTGTCAACTTGACTACATTTGGAGCTAACTAAAACCCAGGAGGTTGGGTACACCTATGAGACATTTTTTTCTTAATTAAACCTTTAGAAATGGGAAGTCCTACTTTTAATCTGGGTCTTCTGAGCTGGGAAGATACAGTTTTATCTGGGCCATACCTTCTGCTGGCAGCCTATATAATGAACATGGAAGAAGGAAGCTTGCTGTCTTTGGCTGCTTGCTCTTACCCTCACTAGTAAGTTCTTTCCTTCTCTGGCATTAGAACCTAAATTCTTTGGGATAGCAGTGTATACGGAAGACCAGCTGAGAAATCCAGTCTCAGGGACCAGGCAACTACTGGATTCCTCTGTTGGTGAACAGCCATTGTTGAGCTAACTGGACCACAGCCTGTAAGCCATTCTAATAAATCCCCTTTCTAGATAGATGATAGATAGATGACAGATAGATTCATGTTATCCATTCTGTTCCTCTAGAGAACACTTACTAGTACATGCATGATGTAAAACTGTCAGAAAAGTGAGTCAAAAATATTACAAAAATTAAAAGCAAAGTTAGACACAAAAGACTATTTTAGTCATAGAAAAAAAATCGCATTCCAATTTTTATAAAGCTGGTAAAAGAAAAAAATATCAACTTAGTTACCTGCTTCATTTTTTTTCTTATAGCTTTTGACTGTTAGTTTTAATTATCACCTTGACACAATCTAGAATCCTGGGGTAGGGAAATCTCAGTGGGAAATTTCCTAGATAAGGTTAGCTCCTGGGATTGTCTTGATCACATTAGTTGATATGGGAAAACCCAGACCACTACAGGTGGCAACATTCCTTAGGGTTAGGCCCTGGGCTGAATAAAATGGGGAGAGTGAGCTCACACTGGCAATCATGCATGCATGTGTTCCTCATTCTTGGCTGTGGATGTGATGTGACCAGATGCTTTAAATTTCCGCTACCTTGACTTCTAACAGTTCTGGACTATTACCTGGAATTGTGAGACAAACCCTTCTTTCCCTAAATTGCTGTTGTCAGGGTATTTTTATTACCATAGCAGCAAAGGAAACTAAGAAACATCTATGCCATTAGTTAGAGTGAATATATATTATTTTGAGTATAGTCTTATTAGATGATTATATTCCTTTGTATTTCTCGGTTTGTGATTTACACATTTGATGTGTGACAGCCTCACCCAATGCCCACTCTCCCATACTACAGCTTTCTCCCTTGTTTGTTCTCTATCACTCAAGTCCCCCACTCCCCACCCCCATTCCATACACCATAGGAGACTTTCACAAGAAATCCAATTGCTTGAAAAAGGTGAGCCATATGGTAACCGTATAAGCCTTTAGATTATTAAAGCTTGCCTTTTGACAGGACCTTAAATAAAGCTTCAGATACCAGATAACTGGCATATAGGAATATTTTGGTGATGCGAGTGATAGAGACATTGATCACTAAGTAAATGCTCTAAATATTTCAGCTACTTATTCATATAAAGGAAAGGAGCTAAGGTAAACAAGTTAAGGCCAACATGGAACTGAAATAGAGGAAAGGATGTGGATCAGATATGTCCTCTGTTTCCTCTGAGATTGAAATAGTTCATCCTGCAGGGAAGCCCCTTAAGCAGGAAAGTAAACAACTTAAAATTGATTTCTGAAGGTCCCTGAAACTGAGTACAAATACTAGCCCCCTCTGTGCCAGAGTAAGCAATAAAAGTTGAGAGAAGCTAAGATGCAGTGAAGACTCTCAGACCACCAGCTGCCTGCAAGCAGCAGAAACCAGCTGATCTGATTTACCTGGAAGACATTTCAACCAACCGAGACACCTGGAAAAAATACTCTCCCACCTGTTGAGCTGCCTGCAGTCTGTGCAGTGTGCTCCAGGTTCCCAGCTTTTGGGAGATGTCACCCATGTTGGAGTTGGCTTTGATTATGCAGCTGTCTTTGAGTCATTTCTGCTCCTGCAAATAACCTCTCACCCATAGTCCTGTAAGTAACCCCAATAAAACTCATTGGTTCACCAAGTTGGACTTTGGTGGAATCTCTTCTTTGGTTTCTTGTGGGCTTCCTATCAGGTGAGTAGATGTGTGTTTTATCTCCCTAGGAAAAGTTTTTTTTCACAACATTACAAGAAGGAAGGGGATGCAGAAGAGAAAGTAGACTGAGGAGACAGGGAAGCTTAGCAAGTGGAGCCAGTACGTGTAACAACAGCAAGGTTGGTAGATAAGGTCAACCGTCACTGAAGGGAACAGCAGGACTGAGCACATCTGGGCACCTGCCAGGAAGTACCACTGACAAGTCCCAGGACATCTGTGAATGAGCTATTTTGGTGATGGGTAGAGGGATGGCCCAATAAATCCAAACTGGCTGGAAAGGAAAATGTTGAGGCAGGGACCAATGCCAGAGGGTTTGGCAGCTTGTGAGTCTCAGAAGCACCGTAGCAGAGGAGCAACCCCAGCTACCTGTGCTTGCAATGGTTTGGCAAGGTGCAGTGATTGGAGCTGACATCCAAGACATGACATGGGAGTGAGAGTCTAACTTATAAAACACAATTATCTTCCCACCAGAGTTACATTTTACTGCAATTGCAACTCACTGACTTAAACCATTTGATGCTCTTAATTAGGTAGATTCTATGATGTAATGACTTCCATAAAAGGCTTACCCAGAATTTGGCCAGTGAGTTACTTCTCCACAGCTGTAATTGATAAGATCACGCTTATGATTTATAACTTCTATCATCTATTAAGAGTAAGAATCTAGTTTATGAAGTCATTTCTAGAAATGGATTATCTAGTAAATAAGTTTTATAATCCTATAGTGTCTAGATTAATTGTATCCTAATTTATAAGGTATTTCTGGGCATACTGTAACTGGTAGCAGAGGAAAGAATTCAGTAAAGCATCAATTAGAAGTGAAACTATTCTCTTTAGAATGTGGGAATCATAGAAGGAAATGGGGAGGCATTGATTCTGAATAGATTTAAGGCACTTTAGCTACACGACAAAGTGAACCATAGAGAATATTAAGTTTACAAAGAGTCTTAATTTCCTTTTAGAGTATTACAGCAAGTTATATTTCTTTAATATATATATATATATATATATTGAGATTAAAGGCATTCACCACCAATCTTAATGTATATAATTTGAGCACAAGGAGCAACTCTGTTCCTTCAGGCTCCTCTGGAAATTACCCAGAAGCTATACTTGCTACTTGGGTTCCATGAGCTCCTATAGATTATAATAGGATGTGTGTGTGTGTGTGTGTGTGTGTGTGTGTGTGTGTGTGTGTGTGTGTGTGTGTGTGTGCACAAAAGGAAAAAAAATCAAGATGAAAAAATCATCACATATTAAAGTTTTAACCATTTCAACATGTATATTATGACAAATATAATTTATAAAAACACAACCTGATCATGTATCTCATATTATCTCAAATATATTCCTACCATTCAGACAAAATAAACTTCAATTACAGTTTTTTTTCTCTACCCTGGATCCTATTCTGTAGTAAGTAAAGAATGTTAAGCCCCAGAAGACAGCCAATGTTTGCAATGCATACAACTCACAAGTAACTTGTATCCAAAGTACATGAAAAAAAATGTTCCAAACCCAACAAAGAAAGCAGAAAAAGTAGTTAAAGACATCCTGTCCACCAAGCAAAATGGTGAAACATTTGAAAAAAGGATGTCCACAAGACATATGAATATGAAAACAGGTTTTACCCCATTAGTCATCTTGGATTTATAACGTATTGTCATAATGAAATATCTCTTATTTTTTTTAACATAGCTAAGATATTGAAGGTTGACAATAGTTTAGAATATACCATACACTGTTTTTGTTCAAGAAATATGAACACAGGCATACTTATGTGTAGGGGAAGCTGTAGCCACGCCTACTTAGGGGCTGGCTACAGGTGTTCCTGACCATGCTTGCGAGGGCGTGGCCAGGGTGACAGTGTGACTGCGTTTTCTCTTTCGTTTTCACTTTTGGGCTTGCGTATAGACCGCTGCCACACCGGCTGGCTAGGTTGCTCTGGAGGTAAGGCTTTTCCCTATTAAATACCTATAAGGGTATTTAATATATATAAGTTTCCAGTTGGCTCCGTA